CTGACATTATCATTACTATGGGTTGTAGAGGATGTCCAACTTACCCCCCTGACATTATCATTACTATGGGTTGTAGAGAATGTCCAACTTACCCCGGTAACTGTTCCCAGGCTTGTAAAATTCCGGATCGCCCTCCACCCTCAGGCTGAATTCATTGTACCCTTCCCTCCTGGTGCCTTGGGCTCGCAGAATCCGGCTGCAATATCCTTCGGATTTGGCGGCTTTCTCCAAGGTTTCGTCGGAAAATCCTTTGGCCACCAARGGGAAAGTCAGCGCCAGGAGCCGCAGGGCCAGCGGCTGCAGATGCGCTCCCATCCCGCAGATCCGCGCAACTTTTTGGGGAGGGATCCGGGGTCTCGGGGGGCACGGGGGGCTCGGCAGGATGGGATGAGAGATCCCGGGAACCCCAAAAATGAGCTGCCAGGGCGGATCGGAGAGACCGGCTCTGCTGCCGGCGAGAGGGAGGGGATAAACGGGGAGGGGAGGGGAGACGAGAGGAGAGGAGGGAAGGAGGGAGGGAGGGAAGTCTGATCTTGCCCAGATCCCGGACTGAAGTGCTGTTTTGTTTCAGAGCGGGTGATTAAGCGGCTCGGTGGTGTTTATTTAGGCGAGCTGAATTCACAGGGTTTTGTGAAAGAGCGGAGCTCTCTCCCAGACACAGCGCGGAGCTGCGTCCGCAGACCCGAAATTAAATCACCCGCATTCCTGCCCAAGTCTGTAGTTACTGTAGGGATAACAAGGCTCAAAGAATTTCCCCGCACCCCTCCCGTCTTTCCCCGAAGCAGCAGACACGATGAACATTACCAACTAACCGAGGATGGAGGCAGCGCTCCCGACAAGCGAACAGCATCGGCTGCGCCTTCCCGGGTACSGCGGGGAGAAAAAACAGAAAAAAACACCAAATTCATCATCTCCGCAGCAGCCTGCCGCTGTGAGCATCACACACTGTGAATGTTCGCCCCAGTGAATGTGGGAGGGCTGCTCAACACTCGGGAGAATCCCGGCAGATGCAAGGAGAGAGCAGGGCTCGGTATTTTGCCTTTACACAAGGCACGATGAATGACTTATCTGAATTCACAAAAGAAGATTACAACAGTGGAAAAAAAAGAAAGTGAACCTACACCCCTGAGGTCCCGAACTCTAGGGTTTTGATCCTAAAATGCTGTTCTCTCTCTCCATCCCTCCACTGCTTTGTAAGTGGAGGAGAAAGTCAGAAGGGTCTTCAAGCAGGACCTGAATACTTTCAGGATGACAGATGCACAAGAGGGCACAAATCCYTTTCTAACCCTTTTCTCCAGGATAGGGCTGTAGCAGATGGATGAAAGCAACTGCATTTATGCACAACTTCCAAAAAGTATGAGAAACCACAAGCAGTTTGGGGTTCTCCTGGAACCCATTTGTTAGCATCTCACTTGCAAATTTTTGGGTTCCACACTTACCTTCAGAAGTTGATTAGCAACAACTCTGCATTATGTGCCAAATCCAGGTGTTTATTTAAGRTCTCTGCGAGGATGCAGGACCTTTCACTTTTTGAAAGGTTGCTTGCCAAGAGCTTTGTTTATGTTTCAGTCTCCACGTTACGTGCTTATAAGGAACATAAACTATCACAGCCCCAAACTATTCATTCACTAAAGTTAACAAAGATGGGATTGGTTGGATGATATTTTATCTTTTACTGTACACAGAGAGTGACTGGCAATGTCCCTCCACATGKCTGTGACAAGGTGGCAGTGAAGCTTTTGTGATAACATGCAATCCATAAGGATGTGCCTGCTCAGACACCTTTTACAGTGGCTAGGGCTGGCTGCAGAGATTTCCACTGCTGACAAGAGAGTTTGATTATGGAAGGATAAATGGTCTTCACAGCACAAATTGCATTTTCTGATCCTCATGTCCTGCTGGAGGAAGGACAGAAAGCAATCCTGGATTTCCAGTCTGCTCCCTTCGTTCTTTCCCTTCCACCAACCTGCCAAGGCCAAATCTCATCATCTTTAAGGCAACAATATTCAGTCTGCTTTTGCTACTGAAGCTTTGAGTTGGCACTGCTCTGCAGAAAATTTTGTTTCATGTTCCCAAAGACCCATGTTCATGTGGTTAATTAATAACTACAGTTCAGCAATGCCATAAACTCTTGAATCTCATTTGACCGTGATCTTCACCTCATTCATTTACCAGAACRAGCTTTGCTTTATGCAGCTATCTCAGTCAAAAAAGCCTGTTAATCTGATTAATTCTCCATATTTGACTTCTCATTGCTTTTGCTGAGATTGATTGAAAAGCAATTACCTGACTGAAGCATTCCTGACAGGAACTGCACAATCCACCTTTGGAGCCAGTGTTGTGTTCTAACCCAATGCTCCTCAAAGTGTCTTTTTTTTTTTTTTTTGTTAGGAAACAACAGTCCTTTTCAGAATTTTTGGGGGTTTATATGGTTATATATTTATATATTATATAAATAATATAACCATATATATATATTAGTTATATGGTAACTAATGCATCAGCATCTATTGACTTAATTTTCAATAGATTTTACATCTCTCACTTTTTAATTCCTCAATTGGCCGGGCCTGTTCCTTCTAGTACTTTTTTTGTTCAAAAGCATTATAAAGTTTCCTAGAAAGACATAATACACTGTCTTGCTAAAAGTGAATGCTTCAACTTAGCAACTGATACAGACAAATTACTCATTTCATGGCTGCAGGCAGTGCAGGTTAATTTGTTGTGGAGACAGTTTAGAATATGGGCAATGTCATTAAGCATGGGCATCCTCGGGGTTTTCTATTTGTTCTACTAATTAGTGTGTGTTTGCCCAAAGCATCCAGCATGATGGATCAGTCAGAGATGCAGGCAAACTGATGAGCCCAACCATCCATGGCAAATTTAACAGAGGAAGCCTCGTATCTTACAGACTGCAGCACTTCTTGCCTTTGTGCACTTTCCAGGGTGAATAAAGTTGCTGTCCATGACTATTAGGGATAACAATCATTGCTGGGATAATTTTGCATCTGATGGAGCTGGAATGGTTGGAGGGAACTCTCTCTCCCCTCCCCCTCACCTCCACAAATTGGGCTTTCCTGACAAACAAAAATCATTTCACCAGATCAGCAGTMTTTCTCACTTTTTGCTTCCCCAGTAAAAGAACCCATTTTTTTTTTTTCAAGTGGTATTTTCTRCACTAACTACTGCAGAATATCTCCRCMCTGATTGGAAGATATGATAGGTGGCATTTAATTTTTTTTTCCTTCTACTTCTATGATTCCAAACAGTTGTTTGAAGTCTTGGGAGTTATCCAGAAAGCAACAATGTGCAAAGAAATGCTTAACTACACAACACCTGACTTTAGGCACCCTGGACCTCAGGGTTAACCAGTGCCTCAGGTTAATAACTAAACTGATTACATGAATATTAGACCCCTTAAAAGAGCCAGGTCACAAGGCTCTTACACAAGTAAAAAATGAACTAGCCAAAATGAAACATCAGGGTGGCAGGGGCCCTAAATCGGTCAGATCCTTGATAGCTCATGTGGTCTGTAGGATTCACCACCTTAAATTCAGAAGGTTCAGTACTTTCTTTAAATAAATATTGTAATAATAACAACACCTCTTTCACAAGATGTCTGGCAGGAATGTTACCCACTCTTACACAAGAGCTAATGATTAAAATATTCCTGTGGAATGTCAGAGACAAATGGATTTCAGTTTCTTGCTTGCTTTGCAAGTCCTCAGATCCTCATTTCTCAGGAAGCTGCTAATTGTGAAAATCTGAATCTCTGAATCTTCTCAAAGCATTCTCAATCTCCTATGGAAACTTTAGACTCCTAGGACTGAACTGATGCTCAAATGAGAGAAAAGAAGTTGAGGGTGTTGTATCAATTAGAATGGATTTTCTGGAGACACATCTAGGGTGGCTTTTTCTTCTCCTCAGACATTAACTGTGTTGGGACCAAAAGCTATCCAGGCTTTCAGGTGATCACATCAAAAGTTTGCAGTAAGTGCATTCTGAATACCTCTACTAAATTAAAATACTTAAGTTGAGGAAAGGCACCAAAATATATTTTCCTCATGAGATAAATATCCCATTGCTCACAAGTGCCAGGACAGAGTGCATTGGATGACTGGAAAACAAAATCTGCAATAAAACCTTTGCAAGCAGGGAATCTGAGGACTGCACTTTCAACAGTGCCTACCTCATTTTACACCTTTGTGTCTTGCTACAGATTTAGCTGTTAATCTAATCTGCACCTCTCCTTTCCCTCTGCTCCAGCAGTTTTTCTTAAACAAGAYAGAAACTCCCTTTATTGATTTAGATAGAATAATAATCCTGTTTCTATTAAAATTCCCCTCTATCTACAGCAAGAACGAGGCTTTTCTAACACAGTTCATGCTGTCTGAATCCTGTTTAGAAAGGGATCTGGAGATATCTGCTGTCCTATTAGACAAAGTAAAGAGCTTGGGAGACACTTAAAATGATTTCTTACTTCTCTCTAACACTGTTCTCGACTTCTTTTCTCTTAAGAATCCAACAGTGACAAGTAATGACAGYAAATGTTTGCAGAGGTCTGTTTGCCATTTACACTGCTGTCAGTCAAYACAATGTGTCTCCAAAATTAAACTTCCCAGCAGCTCGTTACATTTGCCTGTCCAGTCATGCATGCCTTCGGCGTATTTTCACTCTGACAATGCAGGGTTTCCATTTCCAGGACATTTTAAGAGATATTTCATCCCTGACATGGTGAGAATAGCATCACACATATTACCAGAGGAGCCCTGCAATGCTGAGAGAAACAGAGAGCAGCTCTGTTCAAATTCCTCTTGGACTTAAGTGGGGCAAAACAAAGGTTTTGAAACAGCACAGAGCCTGCAAAAGATGTAGGAAAATCTGGATAACACAGGCAGAATGTGATTTAAACTAAGGCTGCTCTTGAATGGATTTTTGAAGATCAAGAATTGACAAGCTCATYTTCCACACAGAGTCTATTTTGGGGAGGAGTTTGCTAAGGAAAGACACAGGCTTCTTGGAATTTGTCTCAGGATTCCTTCCAATATCTGAAAATATGGTCTTTGAAAATCTCTCCCTTTATCCCTCACAACTATTCAAGATCTATCTTGAATAGAATCCCTGAAAACCCCCAAGAGCAGAATAAACCACTAGTTTCTCCAAACCCAGTGTGAGCTTCATTTCCCCCTAAGAAAATTCACTGCAAACCTGGAGCACCAACCATTTCTGGGTCACTCTCCTCCAATTCTGGCTTTCTCCCCCAGCAGCCTCTGCCTTTAGGAAGTTCCCAATTTCCATGGACAGGACAAGTTTCCTGTGCTCCCTTTGCTATAATTCCATCCACACTGTGCCCAGGTCACCCTGAACATCTCCTTTTATCACAGAGTACAAGTTCAGCCCTAAAGAAACCAAAATAAAAAAAAAAAAATCATACAGCCTCCCCAAAAATTTCATCTCTGCTCCTTCCAAACTAAASC